CCGACGACCGCTCCGAGTGGTTGGTTGAGCAAGTCAAGTAAGGGGATCGACGACATCGCTTCTGCTTGTACTGGCGCCTCAACGGATGGTAAGTTACCAAGGATGGCGGCATGTGGCGTTGATTGCATCACCACAGCAGCAGCCATTGCGGTAAGGGGACAGCCAAGGAATTTCTCATCGTAATACAACGACAAAGGTTGTTCACCTGATGTCTTCATTCGCATCAATCGCACGATTAGTACGCCGGCAACGCTGACCGTGAGGATTACCTTCTGGAATGACGACAGGTCCGACGCACAGCCAAATATGTACCATAACAGGTACAACAGAGCGGCATCCTGGTAGTCGGTAGCATTCTTCGCGGTTGAGTACTGGTAGACCATGAGAGTACGGAGGTGGTCCTTAGTGCACGCTAGGGCCTTCTTGATAAACCCGCCCGAGTTGCGTTTCATGCAGTACCGGTCGAGGGTTGAGCCCATTTTCAACAGTTTGGCGGAGACGGCGGCGCTAAGTTGGTAGAGTTCAATCAGCCGCAACTTGACGTGGCGGGAGTACGACATGACTGTGTTCCGAGCGATCTTTTTCCCACCCTTGGTGTCGAGGAATGCCAAGTACGACCCAAACTTGTCAAGCACACGTTCAATGGCAACGCCAGTAGGGTCAAGAGCAAATTGTGCATTAGTGTATTCCATTGTTACATTCTCTTCTGTGACAAAGTGCGTAAACGACTTGATCGCTGTAGCCTTCGCCTTGGTCGTGTTGGCAGGCACAAGATCTTGGATCCCCATGCAGAATGATATGCCAAAGTGATTGCTACCAATTGTCCGATCACAATATTATATGCAGGAAAATATATGTTAATGCTAGTGTTTGTATTGCACATCTTCATATTTTGTGATCCATTCGGGCAAAATCTGTCCGAACTTGTCCTAGCAATTACGTATACATCGATTGGCTGAAATGTTCTCGAAAAACAACATAATGCAAGTATAATTGGCTGGTAATCATGTCCCCGGGTCGGATTGGTTATAATTCTGGACACAATGCACAAGTATGTCCGCAAAGTAATCATATTCACCCATACCATAACGACTCGGACAAATATTTGCTGGATACTACTCTGTTCCATATCTTTTGCAGCATATCCTATTTTTTTACTTTTTATCTTAGCTTTTGTAAGCAACGGTAATTTAAATACATACTTGTAGTTTGTATACTTATAATAGAAATAGTACAATAAAATAAATCCTAAATATTAAGGATGAAAAACCAGCAACTTGGATGCCTTTGTCGACGACACCTTTGCAGGACGAGTTAACCCATTCAGGCTATGCCAACACTGTGGCGACCTTACTAGAGGTCATGTTGATCTCGAGTAACATGGGAAGCTAATTATAGGCACTTAATATACGCAAATGCTCAAAATACAGAGCCCCACTCGATCACAAACTTGGAGCGACCTCACGAGCACATCTGGATACCTAGACGAGCTGCGACTGGATAGGGAGAAGTAAAGACATCACAAGAGCATACAGTCTTAAGCTTACAAAAATACAATCACTATCGACTGTGCACCGTAAGATTTTCTGGTTACAAAGTTTTGGGGTCATGACGCACTAACTACTTTGACTTTTCCGGAACATGAGATGTCAAATCAAAGCTGGGGAGGGGAATGTGTATATATCAAATGAGCCAATCCGCGTGTGATTACGAAAAGAAATGCAAAATTTAGTTCAATCAGAAGTCAAGTGCTGCAATCATTATGGAACAGAGTGGTGTATGCTTCGGACACGCACTTAACCGAATTTACACATTAAATGCGAATAGTTGTACCACAGGCCTTGTCCGGGTTTCGGGGTTTCGGGGTTCTCAGAGAACGTAAGCGGTAGCCCTTCTTCAACGATCCACGAAATCCAGCCGAATCGCGCATTTACCCGGTCACTGACCCAAAGCTTGGTGTTAGTAGACTGCTTCGCGGATGAGTGTGGCGTAGTTGGTTTGACCTGCTTTGAGGTGTGAAACTAAATTCGTGTGGCCCCTGCCTTCTTGTTGGACGTACATGTGCTGGCAGAGGTTACAACGCCATGGGCCAGTCGTTTCGTGCGCTGGCAGAAGTTACAACGCCATGGGCCAGTCGTTTCGTCGTTCGCGTCAGTGATGGCAGAAAAGAAGTACATACTGCACTGCTCGGGCGAGAACTTGCCGGAGAAAAACGTGGACATCGTCGAGTGTTTAACGGCGCAAATGATGATTAATAACATCAAACAGCGGCCTTACGACCTAACAGCTGAGCTTATGACTGGCTGCTAAGCAATGTGGTGGGCGTTATTATGTGAGAAATATTTTTTATGCATTGGAGGACTACCAAAACCTCCGCAAACATCATTTCCGGATCTTTTCGCATCCGGATAGGGGTTCATTTTTAATGTCGAAGCCCATGCGCCAGAAATAGCATCATGTGGTGCAACCAAAACCTCCCCAAAGTATACTACAGGTAATAGTTCATCGGTCATTAATACTTCAATAAATGCATACGAGTGGTTAGAAGTACAATAGTTGTCAAGACACGATAACATGGGAGGTGCACTTAACGCGGCCATGATAGCGTAGGGGCTCGATCCGCCGTCAAAGGAATGGAAGGGCAGCCACTCGGTGTCAGCAGACAGTAGGGTACAACATTGGATCAATACACTGAAGAGTCTACAGAGGAGGGTGTAGTACAGCGATGATAAAGGAGTACTCTGCAACACTCCTGCATCCACCATGTCGCTGCACTCCACCACCCGCCATATTGCACACAGCGGGTGGAAGGCGGTGAAACGCAACGAAGATGGTGGACGGAGAAATGATGCGCCGTGGACCTATGATGAAAAAGGAAGTGCAGTGACCATGGAGGACGGCCACCACTGCGCTCGATGGCAGCGGACTGTGGGGTACAGCGACGGTAGAGTTCATCACAATACATATACTGTATAGCGCAGCAGGTACTCCAGACGTTTTCACGACTTGACGAGCGCAAACGCTTTATTTTCTCCGCATAGTGTGTGCATCGGTGGACATCACAGCGGTCGTCCACCATCATTACACACCCCACTGTCCACCGCATCAATACTACAATGTACTCTATCCTCGACGCACTCCAACAATCCACTGCCTGCCACCGTCGTCCCAGATAGCAGGTACGCGGCGGTGACGGACGGTTGTTCGTAAAATGATGAGCTACTACGAGGCACTAAAATATAACATGTGTAATTTGTTATAACTTTGTGGGGTGGAATTATGCCAGACCTGTAGCATATTTGCATATTGCTGACACCGTTGCATGAATGTTTCAGTGAAAGCCTCGTGTATATCCAATATGAACAGCTATTCATGACTTGCTCTGGTTTTCTGAAGAAATAGAGTGTTTTCCCCATGTGTCTGCAATTCAGTAAATGTCCAAGTCATTCCCAAAATGACTCTTATGGTTAGCGATAGCTGAGTAGATCGGAATCAAGGACACAGTTTCCATAATAAAATAATTCAGATTTTATTGCATACAATTTCCAACGGATTTGTTAAAAACAAATGTACTGTATTTGTCAGCGGCGCCCACTCACCATGGAAGACAAGAATGTGCCCCGCGAAGTACGGCTGGCGGGGGCAGATTCCGTCGCAAACTACTCTGCACGGCGCTGTAGGCATCTGTGTTGGTTCGCGGTTGTCTTTGAGGTGTTCTCAGCTGCCATGCTTTTGTAGCGTGCCATGACGGCACAATAATGGTCGTTGTCCTCGAAGCGCAACGGCATCAATGTCGCGTGGAAGTTGGTAAGGGCAAACGTAAATCGCTGAATGTCATGATAGAGTTTCTCACCCCAGACGAATGTCGCGTAGGACATCTTCCAAAGCGAGCACACCCGGTCGAAGAAGTTTTCGACAACGACACGGTCAGAAGAAACTTCCTTGCTCCTGTCCATGTCGATCGGTCTAACGCGCCACCTATAGGCTTCTTCTCCGGGTGAATGGCACGAGCTAACGCCGCAAGGCCGATGTAGCCCGTGTACCCAAGGACCGCCCACGAGGTAGGATACTCTCGGTACAAATCTCCGTTGTCGTTGATGGTGTCGTCGTAGTCGTTCTTCGCGAGCACTTGAGTATGTTGGTCCAGGCGGCTTGGGAACATGTTGAGGTCGGACACTGACCATGCCTCGTGAGGACTCATGTCGACAAGCAAGCACTCAGGTGAGACGGACGCTTCTATCTTAAAGCCGTAGAGCTTATGCTTTCCACTGAAGTAGTGCTTTTGTTCGCCGAAGCGGCCGGTGGGAAGATGGGCCGGTGGGAAGATGGGCCGGCTGGAACTTGACGTCCGTCGCATAGAGTGCGTACGGGTAGTACAGGTGAAGGCCTTGTTCTTTAAGCGCAGTGTTGTCATGCGGAGCAGAGACACGAAACCGTCGTTACAGGAGCTTGAAGTACACGGCGACCATCTTCACGATGAGTTTCGTGAGCGTTGGTGACTTCAGGCCGAAGTCCACTGCGTGTTTTTCCCAGGCCTGGTGGAGTTTCTTCGCCGTTAAAGTAACAAAAAACGCGTCTTTGGCACTTGTTGCGGACTTCCGACCACGACCGCCAATCCAACGCGATGTCAAAGAAGATTCAGCATCCCCCAGATGACCTCAAATTCCTCCGGTGTAACGTTTGTTAACACATGGAATCCTTCAGATCCAGCGTCAAGAAGGGTATTTTCTTGTCCATGATGAGGTTGTTGGTTTCGTGAAACTCGTCCTCGTCCAGGACTGCATCGCCATATTCTACCTCCAGCCTTAGCTGGAGGTAGAGGTTGCCCGAGGCAGTCTGGTCCTGGAGGCGCATCGACGACACGTTGAGACGCATGGTACACAGGAGATGAAAGAGTGATGAATTATGAGTGGTCTAGTAAAGGAATGGTTAGAAGGCACTCTTGAGGATAACTGGTTGAGCTGTCGTTGTGATTGGCGGGAAAAATTTCCAGCCAACGAGAATTTGCATTTCGAGGTAGGGTATTCGGATGTGCCAAGATTGAATGAGGCAGCCATGACGGCTGGAGTGACAGCTTGGTCCATTGCGGTGGCGTGCCATTGAGAGATTCAAACACCAACTCACGTGCCCTCTATTCACAATTTCTATTTAATATAAACCGTCATTCAAGGTGTTACCTTTAAAATGCTATCATGATCAAACGAATGTATGCATGATCGTGCGTCCCGCTGCAGTGTGATCAACGCAGTTTTCGAACGACTTTGAAACATGGACACGTGAATCTATCGGCTCTCTTGTATCCAAAATTACAAGCTATGATTTGCGTTACTCATTCAAAGTAGTATGTATTTATGTATGGATATGTGGTTATGTTTTACCGCTGCAGTGCGACCACTTCGACTGGTGTACGTTCGCAGTGCCTGAAGCAATGCTCGACGGGCTCTCCCAATACATTGCGCATCCACTACTGGTTTTGCGTATGGACATGACGTGGACACTGCGTACTTGTTTTTGCAGTCGTTAATCGACACAGGACCGGGACTCCGACTACCACGTGACGTGAGTGAACGTATAATCAGTTGAACGTACTCATATTCAAACTTCCTAAAGTTGTGGGAATACACATGACCTCCCACTCTTGAAACAATGCGGTGTACATGGCAGCAGCCTCATCACGTTGGTTGAGCTGCCCCGTGGAAAATGCAAAACTCTACGGGGTAAAATGCATATAGTACATTTGTCAAGTGAACACTACATACAATACCTTTCATCCCCTTAACGACACCTGTGATATACACCAAGCGGAATGTACGCGGTGTATTTGCCGTGGCGTACTTAACTAAACCCGAAATTCATAGCATTCTTCGACCACGGTCTCGTCCAGGTCGTGTCGTAGCCGGGGTCATACGCATATGTAGCCTAGATGATGTGGCACTATCTGGGGCCAGCATTCTCTTACTCCACAAAACACATTCAGCTACGTACCACGCCTTCCATGCTAAACTCACTCAATTGACACAATTCTTCGACCACGGTCTCGCTCAGATCGTGTCGTAGCCGTGGTCATACGCAGATGTATCCTAGATGACGTGGCACTATCTGGGGCGAGCATTCTCTTAACACTACTACCATGTTCCTGAATGACTCCCCAAATGTATATCTTGATTAAAGTATGCCTCCTCATTTATATCATCTTGATATTTGTATTGGCCATAACGAGACGGGAAATTTTGTTGTGAAATCGTTACTACCATGGGCTTCTATGGACATGTGCATCACCTTTTGCAGCGTGATGAAGGTTTTATATACTGTATCTACAGTGGCAATTCAACAAAAGCACTTTCCACAGCACCAATTAGTTCCTCGATTGACCGAGTACACTTTTGATACTGCAGACTTTAAATAGAGTTAAAAACGCCTTAAGTCTAAAACATTGACATCAAGGGATGTTTGACGGCTGATTCATCATGCTGACATTCGACACACCCATCCTTCGTAGCAGCGCCGTATTAACTCGGTGATGTGGGCTTGCGTTGTCGTGTTGGATAATCACTCCACGCTCCTTGCCACGGGATGGCAAACGGTCTAAAATTGCAGGCACAACCTTGCCGGTTACCATCGCTTCGTAAACATCACCGTTGACGTTCTGGGAGACTTGAAGTAGCGTTCCCTTGGGGCGGCTCTTGCTAGATCGGTGGGCTGGAAGGTCCTCGACGAACGGCCAAATACCAATTTTGCCGTCTAAAAGCATTTTCTTCGTATGATCGTAGTGCGGTCGGCCAACCGAAGCCAAAAAGATCACCATTGTAATATAGATCTTGGACTTCGCTGCCCGTTGCGTCATGGCTTCGTCCTTACACGTAGAACTTCCTTTTGACCTTTGTCAAGAGGACCACTTCTCATCAAAATGCACAACGTCGTGCATATTGGTGAAAGCGTGGCCTCCTCTTGACGAAGGTCGAAGAAAGCTCATCGCAAACCCAAGTCGCGCTTGCTTGTTGTCGTCAGCGAGGAGCGGCTTGATGTAGCTCGACGTGCCTTTCTGTTTGCCTACTTCCTTGATGTGCCTAAATAAGGCTATCTTTGGAACGTTATTTTTGGGCAGCCAATGGTCTGTCGGTTCAACATTGGCACCGCCCGTGCTGCTTCGATGTCAACATCGGAACGGACACGCTTTCGACCGGAATTCCCTAATGTAAAATAGTCTCACTTCAACATTTGATACTCCTATAAGTCAATGTTTTGAATCGAAATATTATACTACGTAGTATTGTGGAGTTCATATTCTTGAATTTTTACGCAACGTCGGCAAGTCCGCTGTTGCTGCGTTGCGGGAGCGCTCTTGCTTCCAGACGCGAGTGACAGCCGTGAATGGCACTTGAACAGTAGAGCTGCACGCTTCAGACCCCATACGGAAGCTTGCCGCTGAGAGTTCTCTCTAGAAGCATGGCGTATATTGCCAGTCGTTGTTAAGTCGTCAGGTTCCCTTGAGCACTGCTGGTGGGGAGTTGAATACAACGCGCCGTAGCATTGATCTGGGGTATGGTCAGGTCGGTAATCTTGAGGGTGGTAAATTCTGAGCGCGTGAAGATGAATAGTGGCCGATTTTTCTAAATCTCACTAATTTAGATAAATCCCACCAATGATAGAACAATTGGACAATGATTCAGGAACAGAGTAGTAATACACATCTCAGCTACGTAAACGGACGCCTTGCACGCTAATCTCGCTCAATCCACACCAATCTTCAACCACGATCTCGCCCAGCCGTGGCCGCTAGCTACATAATCGTTCACCACGGATCATGAGTAGGATGTTCGGGTTTTACTGTACAGTTACACAAATGTATGGTCTCTTTGGTGTTATATAAAAAATTTCCTTCCTGCGGGATGCCAGAGCATGTAGATGATTCACTGAGTGCCTTAACAGCTTTGGTACATTGTGCAGTATGATTTTTAATGTCATATTTTTAACTTAAGTTGCTTACAGTTAATTTATACATCATGAAGTTGAATTCAAACAGTTCTCTGTATCAAAAGCAAATTACTTCGAAGTAGTGAATTAGGTGACACGGTGGTTTTTGCTCTCACTGACCATAATTCGCTCAGGAGGCATCGTTTCATAAACACATGATTGGAAAGACACATGCCATATGCCATAACACCACGGAGATGCAGGAAATGGACGAAAACTCGCGATTACTGTATCTGGCATGTCGACTAAGTCTGTCCTCCATGCAACATGCTAACGTAACTTCAAAATGTTGCCTTTATACGTGAAAACACGAGGATGTCGGGATGCAAGTACAGCGGTGGTGTATACCGGTTTGCCAGATCTCCGACACCTTGTATTTCGGTATTCTGTACCTGAGTCTCAATGTTTGTTGTATTAGATCAACTTTTTATATAGAACTTTGTATTGAATTGTTTTGTATGGTTTTAAATGTTACATGTGAAAATGCATGATCTTTTAAAAATTGACATGTATACAGTACATACATACTGCGCTCGCACATGTGATCATGTGCGGAAAGTCCAAACGCAGGTGGTCGAATTCTCGGGAGCGACGCACAGAGGTGAGCTGAAACTGTGAGATCATGTACTCAACATGTATAGAAGGTAGTGCATGCAAGCATCCTTACTTACGTGAAGTACAGAGGACGAAAACGACGACGGTGGAGGACGAATTTATAGTTGTTTGGGCACATGTGTGCACATGCGCATGAGATGCCGCTATCTATAGTTAGCTGCCACGGTGCAGGTTGTGATGTGCACATGTGCCATGTAATAGTCTACAAGTTGGTATGCGTCGCATCCCTCGTCGTCATTCCTAGCCTATGTATTCACCCACCAAAGTTCAGCATTTTGCTCATGCGCGGATGCGTCAAGTGTCGAATTTTTCTTGCACATGTGCACATGCGGGGATGAAATGTTTTCTTTTGATATAGAACGGGTATAGTAAATTTCTATAAATATATAGGTAAATGTATGATCAGGAATTAAATTTCACATCCTATCCGACAGGTGGTGAGGCAAATACCCGGTTTAACCCTTCAGTAGCGCAGAATCATCAGTTTGTCAAACGAGCGATTTGGGAAAGCGATGAAAGGAGTCAGCAATTCTGTGATCATCATGGCAATGTCCGTTTACATGTTCACGGTAGTGGATCGCAATGTCAAATTTACGGCCTGTTCCTGCATCTCCCACTTTTGTACGGCAAATACATGTAAAAAAACAGTCTCCGAATAAGAGAGAAAGTACATTATAGTTCCGCAATATCTTATTTCTGTTCAAATATAATATTCCTTTTATCATTTTATAAATTCCGGTCTGCTCGTCTGTTTTTTAAACAATTCCATACTTACTTCAAGTATAAAATTCGGTACATCACTGGACTTCAATGTACTTCGAAGTACTCCGGAGTAAATTTTACAACTTGCGAAATTATTTACGTCATCGTGAACTGTCTAAATCCATTGTATGTGACAGATCTTGACGATCTCTTTCATGTTACGTCAGCCAAATCGCTAGTCCTATACTAGTACTCCGTAGGATAGTATTGTAGGAGCTTTTTGGGATGATACCAGGGTCATATCTACGGGAGTAAGCAAGCGCAACGACTTCGGGTACGACATTCTCCTTGATGTACGCTTGCAGCTTTTCCCATATGACCGTTCTGCATTCAGCTTCGACGCCAATACGCTGACAGGCTTTCAGAAGGTCCTGCTTATGGGGAATGTAGGATTCATCCATGTAAATAACACGTCGATGAGGTGTTAGTTCAATCGTACCAGACATGAATTTGATGTACTGATTTCCCCCCGGCTTTTAAACGGGCCAAAGTGAATAATTTTTGAGAATTGATAATATCGACTGTCGAGGTGAACTTGAAATTTCAAATGGTTCAATGATCTTTGCATGTTGCCACATTGAAATCATGAAGCTGCGCATGACTTTGTTCGACAAGCACGAGCTGTATGCTCATCACATGGAACATCCAACCTCAACGTACTCCCAGTTGGCCGCATGGGCTGCTGAAAAATTCACCCTTGCTTCAACACCAACAAAAGCTACCATTGGAAATGTACTTAAACGAAACGTTACGCTAAGCATCCGCGCGACAACAAAGTGCGAAGCATTGACCGCCCTGTCGCACTGCCTGCTGTCGAAGAGAGCGTCCTTGCGTGGGTCCTCAAGTGCGAAGAGTTGGGCGTTTGCATCACCGGCGAACTCATCCGCAAGAAGGTGTCGGCAACCTGCGACCAAATATACGTCCCCGTCTCGCAACGCCCCGCCTTCTCCAAGGGATGGTTATACAAGTTCCAAGTTAAGCACGGACTCACCAGTAAACTGCAGCATGGCGAGGCTGCATCTCTGTCCCCAGCTCTTGTCGCCGAGGGCCGCCAGCAGATAAAAGCAGCGACCAGCGGCTACAGCGCCGCCAATACCTACAACATGGATGAGACGGCATTTTTCTTCTGCTTGTCACCACACCGATCGATCACGCGACACCGACAACCCGGGACAAAGAAGTCAAAAAAGCGCATCACTGTTGCACTTACCACCAATGCTGACGGCACCGACGTTGTTGACCCGCTCTTTATCGGAACTGCGGCACGTCCACGGTGTTTCAACGGGGTCGCGGCCTCCGACTTGGGCTTCAACTACATGTACAGCAAAAAGGGTTGGATGATCGGC